GGCACTACATGGAATGGAAACAACTGCAGAGCCAACCCTCAAGCCCTCAGAGCGCCAAACCCACACTCACTGCCATCCGGCAGGAATCGATGAGTCGAGGAAACCTGCCCCTGTGGGTCTCCTAGGCAGAGAAGCCCTTTCTCCCAGGGAGCAGTTGGGGGCTCGGACGGCCAACCTGGCAGTGGGCAGTCCCGGTCACAGCCCACGACAACACCAGGGCTCCTGCAAGTGCTGACAGTGAACTGCAGATGCAAAGACAAACTGATCCCAGGGTTATTCTCTTGACCAGAATCCAGGCAGGCGATGTGGGCTTTCACAAGCGATGCACAGTGAAGTGTATGAAGCGCTGAGCACACAAATGGCTCAAGACTACACCCAAACTAAACTCACCAAGGCGACTGGAATTTTGATTCCAATTCTGTTCACAATGTCTTTTTTTTTTTTTTTAAGTCATTTGATTGGGAGCTCTTACAGATACTGTAAAATTACAAAAGGTGGAGTCGTAAGCTCTGAAATCGAGTCCCAGTTTCACTGCTCTGAAGTATGTGATCCTCACCGACTAAGCTTTCGTTATCTCTTTAAGAGGAGGACAGTATGGCTTTTAACTAAGCTCAAAGGGTTGTTAATTGAACCTAATGGGATTAATACAAATGAGAAGACTCCTTAAAAGATTTAATACCCCGAAATAAATAATGTTAGAATCTTTTAAATCAGTGGCATGAGCTGACTGAGAGCTGGCTGAACCACACAGTTCACATGAAAATGACCTACAAAACTTTAGTCTAAAAGAGTTTTTAGATGAGTCCTCAAATAGTCCTAAAACTGGCATGGCTGATGAAGAACAAGCATAATATTCCTGAAAACAAATTAGCGTTGACGGTCTCACCAAAAAAAGCAGACGCACCGGGCACCACCCTCCTCGCGTATTATGTTCAGCTCTCAGTGCTCGGTTTTCAGGAAACTGAGCCATTGGAAATGTGTCTAGGGAGGACAGTACCGAGGAGAACAAAGGTCTCCCCAGAGGAAGACGACTTAAAAGAACTGCAAGACTGGCCTGGGAAAAAAGGACCCGGGTGAGTGATAAGTGATCTTTAAATGGTGGAAGGGTGTCCTTCAAACTACGAGCAGTGGGTGAAGCTGCTGGCCGAGTAAGGAAGAACTCCGTCGAACAAGAAAGAAAGCGCATTCTCTCTCCGACGGGGCCGCTGTCCACAAGCCATGGCGGTCCTGCCACGGAGTCAGTTCCAATGCACGATGACACGCTAGTTTTGCAGTGAGGTTTCAGTGGATAGAGTCAGCAAACTATCAGAATGGCAAATAGTTTTAAAGTAGGCAATGATAAAGGTAACACCGAGATTTCCACAAGAAATAAGATTATGAAAACTGAAAAGAAAAAAAAAGATGGAAAACACCAGTTCTCACGGTCACTGGCACAGCTGAAAATGGCAGGGTTGTTGCTGTCGCTCGCTGTCGATGAGTTTGGGAGCCTCTACCCCTCCTGTGACCTTCTGGTTCCCCTACGCCAGATCTTATAAGGTCCGACTGAGTCCCGTGAATCCTTCCTAAAACTATTCTCTTTATTCTTTAGTTAAGCAAGTCATTGCATTTTCTGACATCTTACAGCAATACAAAACCAAAGGAGATAGAAACTATGATTTCTTAATACATTTTTCCTACATTCAATACATATGATAATAAATACAATTTTTAAATGTAATGCTTTCACATAATTTTTCTTGTAATCTAAAATTCCAATTTACTGCCATATCAATGTATCTAAAAGTAGGAGAAGCTTGCTTTTGTGTGATTTTTACCATCGACACAAAAGAGGGGAGTAAAAGGACACCCAAGACACAGTACTAAAACCCTAAATTTCCCCAATGAATTTATTTTGCGCCGTAGGAGGAGGGATGGCTAGAATTAATCCTAAAGACTATTAAGTTAGCATTCGGCAGCCACAACATTATTTTTCACCTTGCAAAAGCACTGTGCTACACTTCCAGATGCAGTAAAAACAATTCTTCAGAGGTACAAGTGTAAATTCAAAGACTTCAAGCAGTTTTCACTTCAGAGGGAGAAAGGAAACAAACACAAAGAGCCCCGTGAACTGGTGGCCACAGATCACCGGCAAAGAAACTAACCCTGAGCAATTATTTGTTGTAAAATGAGCCTTTTTCCTGTAGGAATATAATCCCTCTAAATTGAAGAATCAGCTGAGAGAAAAGGGTTTCATCAATTACAAGTTTGCTTTATAGATATTTTGCAAATTATTCATCCATTCAGCCATGCTTAGTGACTCATTAGGCCAATTATCTTTTTTTAAACAGTTTTATTGGCATATAATTCACATAGCTTACAATTCAATAGTTCAATCACATCAAGAAGAGTTGTACAATCATCACCACAGTTTTAGAACATTTTCTTCATTCTTATACTCATCATTATTAACTCCTCATTTCCTTCCAATCTCCCCTGTCCAACCCCTGCTACCATCTCTATAATTTACCTATGCTGGATTTCATATACAGAAAAACATTAAATAATGTTTTAAGTGATTAACAATAACTAAATAAAACAAATTAGAAACCTTAAATGAAAAGAAAGCAGAAAATACTAAAAACTAGACAGATTTAAATGGATCATAAGGGAGCTCCAATGATAGGGTGCTAACTTTTAAGCTGGCTGCACCTGCAATCCACTTTCCAATGCGTTCTGCGTGACAGTACGCCCATTCACGTTGCTGGTCCACGGTCAGAGGGGATTCACCAGAGGCTTCATCTAAGTGTGGACTCTGCAAATGCATTCTGGGTTCCCACTGTCATTTATAGCTTTCTGCAAAGTAGTTGTTCAAAATTTAAGCGCTGATGCTATTCCTTCTTTAGATTTGGGTTATATTATTGACAATCCTTCGATCACTCAGACTGGTGTGCTCCTTCCATGTGGACTTGACGCCTCGCTTAGAAGGCTGCTTGTTTAAAAACAAGCCTTTAAGATCCCAGATGCTATTCTTTCTGGTAGCCAGGCACCATCTAGTTCCTTCACCACACTCTGCTATAGCACCCATATCTTCAGTGACCTCTTCGTGAGGGCAAACATCAAGCAGTAAGGCAATTATTATCAGGAATGTTTTACATTCATCCCTTCCTCTCTAGCTTTTAATCACTTCCTGGATTTAATCTCTATTCACCTAATCTTTTTCTTGATTTTTTCCTCTAGTTTAAAATACAACAGTTAATGCATGAGTTTCCCTATTAGTATCTCCAACCACAGCATCTTCATCACAGTAAAAACAACAACAAAACTAATTTTGTTCCTTGAGCAGATTAATATTTGATCTTCCCTTGACTTAGAGTAGCACTGGTGACACGGGGGAGTATGTGTTGGGACTGCCTACAGCCAAGTCTGCAGTTCGAACCCACCAGCCACTCATGGGAGAAAGATGAGGCTTTCTGCTCCGGTAAATATTTATAGACTCAAAATCCACAGGGGCAGCTCTACTCTATCCTACAGACTATGAGTCAGAATTGACTTGAAGGCAGTGAGGGTTTTGTTGTTGTTATTGTTGTTGTCTAGTTTATGACGACACGACACGGCAGTGGTTTGAGTAGGCCTCAGTTTCCTCATCTGCAAAATAAATATAGACATCCTCCTCCCTCAACACTGCTACTATACAGATGGCCTGTGATGAATTATCCAAAGAATCAAAGAACGCGTAACTCGCAAGGCTGTCCCATAAAATGAGGCAGGGAACGTAAAACACTTAGCTCTTAGCCAGGCCCACTGAAAGCTCACAGTAAAAGGGAACTTCTGCTATCATCGAAAACCTCAGTGGGTCCCTGCTTCCCACAAATTCCAACTTCCACCTTTTTGTTCATTTTCAAAGGAAACGTGTAGTTATCTGACTTATTTTATTTCACCAATTTAATCTCCAAACAAGTGCTCCCACTAAAACCAATGTCTTTTCTTTTTCACTAAGAAGTCAGTCTTCTTTCTGAGGGATTAGGACTTCATTCTTAACTGCCCTTTCAATGAAACCATGTCAAATACCAAAATCCTTCCATGTATAGCCCACGCCTTGCCCTACAAGCACTTCCAGGCAACTTCTGCTTTTAACCATTTCTCCTTTTTCTGAAGTCCTCGCAGCACAAGCCGTTTTATTACGGTTTCATCTGCTACTATGGTCAAATCTTTCTAGGTAAACTGTACCTTCCTAAGGATAACGACGATGCTATACCTTCTATTTCTAAATCCCTTCTGAAACCAAACCAAATCCACTCTCATTCTGACTCATTGCAACCCTATAGGAATGGGGAGAATTTGTCCAGAGGGGTTTCCTGTAATTTTTTACAGGAATAGAAAGCCTCATCTTTCTCCTGCACAGCAGCTGCTGGTTTCAAACTGCCGACCTTGTGGTTAGCAGCCCCACACAAAACCAACCCACTGTGCTACCGGGGCCCCATACCAAATCCTCTTGTCATCCAAAACCAAGTGTCCAGTTACTATAAACAAAGTAAATTAACCTGAAATGCTAACAGTGGTTACTTCTGGATGGTAAAGTTTTGAATGATAACTATTTTCTTCATTTCGGTTTTCAATTTCCAGTTCAATCCTATCAACAACAAGATTATCTGAAGCTTTGTGAATCAGAAACCTTAAAATGACCTTTCTATACATTTGTAATTAAATAACTGATGACCCTACAATCCTAAAATGTTTTCTGAATCATAGATACATAAACAAACTAGCAATGGACTTTTAACAACTCTTTTCTCTAATTATACAAAACATTCTTGTTAAAAATCATTGTCTCATGTGAAATGTGGGCAACTCTCCCATCCAGCAATGACAGTGGACTCAGTGGTCACTGCTTCTCACTGCTTTTCCGGCATTCGTATTTTCAGGATGACTTTACTCAAAACAAATGATAGTCTCTACACAAAAGAAAAGTGATACCATCAATGTACTTGAAACACCAAGATAAGAGTAGAAAAAATGCTTACCTAATCCTTTTTGTCCTGGATTCTTTGCAAAATTAAAAGTAAACTGGTAAAAATCCTTAAATCGTCCTGGTTCTTTCAATTCTTGTTCCATCTTGGGTATCTGGGCCTTTAGTTTTTCTATGCTGTCACATCTACATTGTAAAATTAAGTTTATAAAAGATGAACTTCTTCACTATAAATTAAGAACTTAACTTATTTACTCCTAAATGGACATGCCTTTATTTCATGGAGTTTCTTTACAAAAGCCAGAGAGGTGGAGAATTTCATCTTTTTACATTATATAAACACACACGGGCATGGGCTTCAATGGGGAAGAAAGGGTGTGGAGCGATGACTGCTGTTAAAAGTAACGGGGTGTGACTTTTCATTACACAATGCCCCGGCCTCTGGTCGTCCTGGCTTGCAGAAATCAGCTGCAGTGTGATGGACAGAATATGCTATAAACATGCTGTCGTCAATGGAACAATCACCCGTGTAAACTGTACGACCAGTTGCCATCCAGCCAACTCCAGGCCTGTCAGTACAACTGGGCTCCACAGGGTTCCCAGGGCCTGCTTTTTCAGACCGCTACAGATCGCCAGGCTTTTCTTCCAAGGCGCTGCTGGGTGGATGCGCGTCTTCAGCCTTTCAGAGTGAGCAGCAGAGCACAACAACGTGCATCACCCAGTCTCCACACAGTCCTTGTGGTTGTTGCCATGTGCCGCCAAGTCTGTTTCGACTCACAGAAGCCTTCTAGCGACCCTAGGACAGAGTCACCCCCCCACCCCCGAGGGCTTCCTAGGCTGTGATCTGTATGGGGGTGCGGATCGCCCAGTCTTCCTCCTGAGCAGCAGCTGGAGACCTGGTCAGTTGGCAGCCAAGTGCTTAAGCACCGCACCAGCAGGCCTCCTAGACAATCCTTGCAGAGTAACAAGTCACATCATGCCTAGCTTCCAAACTATGGAAACGCTTCCACCTGCTTAGGCAAGAAACCAGACCCTCTGAAAACGTCCCTTCCTGTTATGTACAAAGTACAGCGATGACGGTCAGCTCAAGCCCTCTGCACCACCTACAAATATTAACTAACATTTGCTACACTCGGAAAGCATTCCACTTCCAAGGAGTTCAAAGGGTCTGAGAACCAAGGCTTAAATAAGGTGACCAGACGTCCCGCTTTTGGCAGGACAGTCCCAATTTTTAACAATTTTTTCCGCGTCCCACAGTATTTTAAAAAAGTCCCAATTTTTGGAAAGAATGCACGACAAGCTAGGGTATACGGCTTTCGGCTGCCATGTGGCAATTTCGCCAGGATATGAGTTTTATCAATGGTGTCCCACTTTGTCCAGCTTTACCAATGTTAAAATCTGGTCACCTTAGCTTAACAGCCTTAAGAAAATGAGGCAGACAGGCTGTTTCTTATAGATGCCATGATCATTCCTTGTTTCATCTAAAGAATTTTGCTTTTATGTTCTATATTCTTAATGACATTTCTGTTTGTAAACTAAGATTCTGAGTTCCAAGTTCATTACATGGTACTTGAGTTCAATTTCAAATGAAAAAAGAAAGTGAAACAAAGTTTCCTTTGCATTCTGAAGAGCCCAGTCCTAGCACAGCAACCTAACTCAGCAAGGTCAGGCTTCAGCTGCTGACCCTGTTAGTACCTTGTCTTTCAGCTTTAAACATACACCTTTTGCACTACTCTGGACGACAAACTATACAAACTCTGTCTTCTTTTCACCTAAGGCTGGAGAGGCATAGGAACGTTTCTTTTCCTGGTTTTGTTTTTTTTTCTGCAGAGGGACCTCTCCATCTGTGGGGAGGTCCCTGAAGTGTTCACTACAGGGCCAGAAGCCCCTTCTGGCCCCTCAAGAGTCCCCTTTTCATCCCCTCGAAGGGACAGGCCTCACAGGCCTCAGGTCCCGGCAGCAACCACACCCTTTCCTTGGAGGTCTGAGTCTCAGTTGAATGGGGACCTCTTCTAAGTTCCTTCCTTGTTCTCCTCCCCCAGCCCAGGAGTGGTGGCCGCTTCCTGCCCCACAGTGCTGCTTCTGTTAGAAGTCAAAGCACTATTTTATCCCTTTTAGTCATGAGTCAGCCAGCCTTGGTGGCATCACAATTAAGCACCTGACAGAGCAGAAAAGGTGGGCAGTTTGCACTCACCCATTGGTTCTGCGGGAGACAGACCTGGCCATTGCTCACCTAAGAATTTCGGTCTGGAAAACCGGCCATTGCTCACCTAAGGATTTTGGTCTGGAAAACTCTATGCGGCAGGTTTGCTCTGTCACATGCAGTCACTGAGAGAACTGACTGAAGAAACCCAGCAACCACAGTGGTTAGCCACCTTGTAGGACTTAATAAGCAATTCCTTTTATTAAAAATTTCTCTTTTGACTGAACTCTGACTACAAAATCCCTTTGGCATAAGAATCAGAATGCCTAACAATTCCTAATTCTAAAAATTTTCCATACTTTTGTCTTATTTCTAAAATGACTATAAACACCTCCCGGAGTTCTTCTGAAGAAGCTGGTGAAGTACTTGTATGAATCTTGCAATAAAACAAATATTAGCAATTATTATTATACTGAAAGCAGAGGGGACAGCCTTGACCTACCCACAGCTGAATGCATTTGCAGCCCCATTAAATACTGACCACAGTCACTAGTAAAACCAAACCTACTCACTGGTGCCTTTGTTCAGTCCACACGTGCAGACACTGAGCCTAATCAGCTGCAAAGCACAAGTGGGGGGAAAAAATTAATAGTAACTTCTAAAGTATTTTCTAGTTTTAAAATTTTAGGGCTTTGTAAATTGAGAGCTCACAGCCTTACAGTAGGAAGTAACTTACAAACGTATTCATTCCACTTCTCTGTGTTCAATCATAAAGGGTAGTGATTTTAATGCCAATGCACTGTCCTTGGAAACGATGAGTAACAGTTTGATGTGAATGGGATAGGCTATTCTCCAGTAACTGGTAAAGTCAGAAACTAAATCACATGGAAAGCTAACATGCTCGTCCATTTCTATTTTATACCGAGGTTGGGGGTCGGTCATTTTAATATCTACATTCTGAAACCCATGGCATAATGTAGACCTACAGCAGGGAACCGAGTTTCCGACAGTGATTAAGGACTTACCCTAGTTCTGTCATGCCGTCCAAGAACTCCTGTTTAGAGAACTCGCACTGCGTGGCTGCTCTGAATTTCCACGCAATGATCAACACACTGATGCTGGCTGGATCGAGTGCCAGGTCATCACAGAACTGCTGGATACCATCTATTCCAATTTTATTTTCATCTTGAGGATCTTTAAAAACAGCAATGAAATATAAAATTAGTGCCTACAATTAATTTTGCTGCATCTTTTAAAACTTAAAATGACACTTTATAACCCATTGAAAAGTGATCACAAAATATCAAAGACTTGAAGCAGCATTACTCTAATTGTCTCCCCATGTATAATCTCTAAAGCCACTTTACCCCCTAAATAGTACCCTTAATTAGGGTACTTATGTAGTGGACACTCAATAGCATACAAACTCATTGATTCATGCCTCACACGCTTACTACACATACTCATAACATCCAACATGTTTACAGGATAACCCCACTGCCACAGGGTCGAGCCAACTCCTAGCCACCCTGTAACTGGTTCCAGAGACCGTGAACCTTGACCAGGCAGCCTGATCCTTCTCCCAACAGAGCAGCTCACCGGTTTGAACCTTCAACCCTCCAGTTAGCAGTCCAGCCCTGCCTCACGAGGGCTCTCAGGGAAAACACCCATGCTGTATCTAAATGGGCATTCCAAATAGACAGTAGTACTACAGAAATTACTTTCCTCTTAAAAGAAAGTACACTTTATATATCAAAAGGACTGCAATTCAATCAGAATTTCAACAATATAAACATCTGCTACTTAATTAAATGGGAAAACCTATTCATATTTATTGATCAGACTGGCAAAAAAAATGTAAGCCCATAAGAAAGACCAGATGCAGCCATACACACTGCTGCTGGGATTGGCTGACATCTTTCCAAATGGAAAGACCTATAAGCAATAAACACTGGCACACCCCTTCAGGCCTGGAGCTGACCTCACCCTGGGTTAGAAGAATCAACCATTTAAGACGAAAAGGGCAGCTCGTATCCAAGGTCAGGGATGGGGGAAGGCAGAGGAAGGGAAACAGGAAACACTGGGAGGAAGTGGGATAAGGATGATATATTGAGGGGACTGAAAAGGATGACTGGAAACAAAATGTGCGAAAGTCACTGGACGTAAAACTGATGGTCTGCTCTGTGAATGTTTGCCTAAAAGTTTTGTACAAACTGCACAAACTGACTTCTGAGCATGAGTCAGACATACAATATAAATCCACATTGGGGAAAAATCTGAAAAAGACATGTATTTTTACATAAACATATGAGGAAAATACGGAAGAATCAAAGCTGGCTATTAAATACTGGTTGGCCCTGGAGGCACGGTGGCTTCTGCGTTCGGCTGCTACCCCTAAGGTGATGGCTCAAGCCCACCTGCCACTCGAAGGAGAGAGAAGCCGTCTGCTCCCCTCCGGAGCCTCGGCCTGGACACCCCACAGGGGCAGCTCTACTCTGTCCTGGAGGCTCACTGTGAGTCGACCGACTGACAGAGAGCTTGTTTCAATGCAGGAGAACACAGGAGGGAGAGAAATTGTTAAACTTTTCTTTATTCATCATCATGTGCTGTTTAACTTATTAAAAGTCTGCCTTATTTGATACTTCCTTTTTCAAAACTAGTAAATTTGTTTTTTAGCTTTCCTCAAAATCTACGTCAGTATTTGAAGATGAAGGGGAAAGAACCACACACACCCGCTCGGTTCCTGCCCTGGAAAATGAGACGGAACGGGAAGAGAAAGGAAGGGGGTAAGCCACAGGAGTGGCTGCCCGTGATAACAACTGATGCAGGGGCTGATAGGGATGCAGGGCTGGGGAGTGGGTGGGAGGGAGGGAAGGGAGATTTGGGGAGTGGGAAATGAAGGTGGGAGCGGGGAGGGAGTACCAGAACTGGCTGTGACTGCACAACTCATCTTAAAAGTGATTTGTAATGATTGCACCATCTCCTTGATATGACTGAACAACTGAACTACTTAACTGTATGCTATGTAAATTATATGCCAATAAAACCGTAAAGAAAAAAGAAAGGGGTAAGAAATTCTAATGAACAGAGGAAAACCATTTCTCCTCTCAGAACCCCTGAAATAATTCTAAGACCTACAGAGTTCTGCTGGGCACACCAAACCAATTTATGTTCTAAGTATTACTTGATGTCTGACACTAATTATATAAAACCTGCTCAAAATACTTCAAGTCATAAGCAAACACTCACCTTTGTATCTATTGTACAGTTGTTCTAACTTCTTCCTATCCAATGATCCTTTTACACTCTCTCGTATATAAAGTTCAGGATTTTGGAAAAAATTGTCTGTTGCAACATCTAACTTCCAGTCATTTTGAGACAGACAACTTACTGCTGTTTTTTCGCTAGATTGTGTGAAGATCATAAACTGACGAACTTTATCCTTCTGCGATGATTTCAACTTGTTCTATTAAAAGCAGAAAATAAACTGAGACTGTGCATAATATCAACGTAAGACCAAATATTTTTAAAGGGAGGACTAAAAAGTTTTAGTGATACCTAGTGTTCATGAAACATTCACAAATTTGAATCATAAATTTGCTCTAGTTTGAACAAAGAAACATAAGCGAGGGAAACAAACCAACAAGCAAAACCATCCTGCAGGTCCCTCCAGTGGATGCCGAGAGCCCCTGATGCGCCCCCGGCGGGCAGTGCAGCACCTCACACACCATGAGCAAGCAGGAAGCTCCAAGAGGGATGGGGGAGCGGAGGGGAGTGGCACATCTCACCAGCCAGGACAGTCAAATCGCCCTGGAAACCGTGGTTAACAGGTGTTTATTGCTGTCATTAGGTGCCCTCAAGTCAGTCAGTTCCGACTCAGAGAGGTCCTGTGTACAACAGAAGGAAACACGGCCTGGTCCTGCCCGTGCTCACACTCATGGTCCTGTTCCACCCCATTGTGGGCCGCTGGGTCAAGCCATCTTTGGAGGACCTTCCTCTTTTCTCACTGTCCTTCCACTTTAGCAAGCATCATGCTCTTTTCCAGGGACTGGTCTCTCCTGATAGCATGTCCATAATACGTGAGACAAAGCCTTCCAAGGAACAGTCTGGCTGTACTTCTTCCCAGATACATCTTATTTGTTCTTCTGGCAGCCCATGCTACTTTCAATACTCAATAGCATCATAATTCCCCCATCCATTCTTCTTCGGTCTTCTTTGTTCAATGTCCAACATGCAGATGAGGTGATTGAAAATACCATGGCTTGGCTCAGGCACACCTTAGTCCTCCAAGTAACCTCCTTGCTTTTCAACACTTTAAAGAGGTCTTGGGTAGCAGATTTACTCAGTGCAATGCCTTGTTTGATCTCTTGACTGCTGCTTCCATGAGCATTGACTGTGTGGATCCAAGCAAGATGAAATTCTAGACACTTCCATCTTTCCTTCGTTTACCAAGATGTTACCTTTTGGTCCAGTTGTAAGGATTTTGGTTTTCTTTACATTGAGTTGTAATCTACACTGAAGGCTGAAATCCTTTATCAGCAAGTGCTTCAAGTTCTCGTTTTCAGCAAGCAATGTTGCATCATCTGCATATTGCAGGTTATTAATAAGCCTTCCTCCAATCCTCATGCCAAATTCTTCTGCATATAATCCAGCGTCTCTGATGATTTGCTCAGCATACAGACTGAATAAGTATGGTGAGAGGATGCAACCCCGACACATACCTTTCTTGATTTTATACCATGTGATATTCCCTTGTACTGTTTGCACAACAGCCTCTTATTCTGAGCACAGGTGTTTGTAACAGTCCTATTATCCATTATAAAGAATATACTGGGTGGTTAAAAAAAAAGTACACTGGTGTTGTCCCCAACACCACTGATATGTTTACCAAATGGGACACTGCCACAGTTCTGAGCCCCTTACATCCTTATCCCTGGAGGCATTTGGGGACCTCGATAATCACCAACAGAATCTACTTGGTCTTCTCACTCAAATCTGAGGCAGCAGCAAAAGGTGGGTAGGAACCTTGTATCCTTCCTAGCTGGGCCATTGCTTTTAGGATTCTTCCCTTAACTAGTTCAAGCAGAAGTAGCAGAGGCCTCTGACCAGAATCTAGAAGAGGCCCTTGATCTCTCCAAACAGCCCCTCCAGCTTAATAACCTCTTCTTGCTTGTCTCACACTGACACGGGTTCATGTCCTATCTGGCCAAAACCCAAAGAAAAATAAGGCAGGGAGAATGCCATCAACTTTCTCTCCATCTCCCAGCCCTCCCCAGTTGGTCTTCCCTGCAATCTCAGCCCCCATGTCCCCCATGCTTATTCTTCCCCCTCCCAAATCCCAATACCTCTCTCCGCAAAATACTTGGGTTCTTCCTGAGCTATAAGTGAAGGGGGAAAAGAATTGAATAGGGGCACATATTTGTAATCTAAGCAAGACATATCTGAGAAGCCCAGAATCATGGATTGGGCCCAAACTGACAGATCACAAACTTCAATCCTCCGATTATTCAGATGAATACAAACCCAGAAAGTTAAGGAATTTGCCCTCAAAACATCCATGTTGTTTGTTAAGAGTAGATATAGAGCAAGAAAGACACCTCATAAATCCAAGTCTTTAATAATCTTTCTATAAACCACACTATTCTGCCACCCTTTATAAAGCTTTTGAACTTTCCATGGCAAAAATACTACCGAAAATGTAAGTATTACCATCTATCTCATACTACCGAAAATGTAAGTATTACCATCTATCTCAGAGTAAAAATAAGACTATGCAAAAGTAATTATGAAAACCAACCTTGATTGTTACAAGAGCTGGAAGAGTCTCCGATAAAATGATTTAAATTAATTGGGGAAAAAAACAACAACCTTATTCCCTTACAATACGGAAAAAATGTTTACACCCTAGAGTCTGATTATCAACCACACTCCTCTCTCTCTAAATGCTATTGCCTAAGCGCACACATTAAAGTCTCAACAGCTACTGCCCACTAAATACGAGAGAGACACACTACATTCACTAGCCTCTTGCAATGTCCCTGAGAGCTCGACCACCTCAACACCCAGTACTCCACATCTCTCTCCAATCTGCACAGGGCCATTTAATCACAACAAACCCATATTGAAAGTGAATTATGAGGAAGATAACTACTCTAGGTTAATGTTCTCTTTCATTGAAAATTAAGAAAACCATTTTGATTTCAACTTTTGCTATAAATAATCGGTTTGGGTTTCCTTAGTCTATTCTTTACAAAAAAAACAAACAACCACCACCACCAACAACAACAACAACAAAAACAACAAACACTGCCATGCAGTCCATTCCAACCTCTGGTGACCCCGTAAGCTAGAGTAGGACTGCTCCACAGGGTCCTCAAGCTGCACACTTGATGGAAGCAGAGAGGCTCTCTTTCACCCAGGGAGTGGCTGCTCAGTTGAAATTACCAATCATATAGTCAGTGGCCTAATGCTGAATGCACCGCACTACCATATGTACATGTGAGATCTAGTCCTGCGGCTAAATGAAGAGCAGGGACGTATCTGACAGGCACTGTGACCATCAGTGAACACTGTGCAATGTCGTAGAGTCATCAGGAAATAAACTCATCCTAAGCCGCATTCTGAAAACTGCTTGTTGATTAAAAATGATATAATTCTTTGCATGGCTTTCCCTCCATCCTCCTAAAAGTGAATGCAGCAAAGCATCGGGTTTCTTTGGGTATTAAATGCACAGTTTTGTTTCTTGATGGCACAGTGCACTCACTGCACGCTGAGCGGCTAGATGCAAGGTCAGCAATTCAATACCACCAGCCTCTCCACGAGAGACAGAGATAGTCTACTCCAGTAAGGTTTTTTAGTCTCGGAAAACTTCCAGGGTAGTGCTACCTTGATCCATAGGGTCACTCTGAGTCACAAGTGACTTGATGGCAGTGAATTGTTCCCCTTTTGTTAAAGCGAGGAAGGAAAATACAACTTAAAGTCACCTATGCAAGCCAAGAGAGATGTTTATTGATAGTTTTCTTGTCACTAAGATAATTACAAATTTAGGGGAACATAAAAAGGGAAAGTTATTTAATCCACACAAATTAATAACAAACGGATTACTTAATTCCATGAATTACTTATCTGGTATCTTACTTAGGGAAAAAATGCAAACAGCAAACTCTCTGAACTGATTAAAGTATACATTTTTGTTATGGGTGGCAATATTATCGATACATTTTATTGATTTCTGTTCGTCTACCCATTTCTAACTCCAGAAAGACTACCTACCACTGAGTACAATGTGACCGAGAACTGACAGCAGGGGGCACCACTAGGCCAAGTGGTCACAGGCAATTCCATTCCTACAGTCTGAGAAGTACTCTCCCATTCTTGTCTTAGAATACCCTCTTACGTGAGCTGCCAGTGTCTAGAACAAATGCTAACACGCGTTCTCCTAAAGTCATTGCCCACTGCGCTGAATCAAATGTTCACTGCTCCTACAGGATCGCAGAGAACTGCCCCATAGCATTTCCAAGGCTCTTTGTGGAAGCAAGCACATCTTCCTCTGTGCAGGGCAGCTGATGAGTTCCAATGGCCGCTTTTGGGTTCACAGCCTAGAGTTTTCCCCACTGTGCCACTGGTGTGCCATCTTCTCCTCCTCCGTAGCACACCCAGCTCTGTGTTCCGGAGAAGCCCAGCACTGACACTCCCTGGTCGCATGGGTCCAACCAGGTAAAGTGCTCTGATCTTGAAATGTGGCATCAAAGGTTTACATTTTCAACTTAAGGAAGGCGGGGGAAAGAGGGATGAACCAGAGAAGTCTTCGAATATATAAAATAGTATATAAACAGGGGGTGGGAAGGCGGACAGAAAACAGGTACAGGAAAATGCAGGTGGTTTTTCCTGGTTGCTACTATAAACCCAATGGGAGTCTTCTTAAGAGCACCAACATGTAACAACTACAATGACTCCACAGTCAAGGGTAGCACATGCCGTTTCCCTTAAGACCTTATTTAAAGGGAGCAAACCAGTGGCCAATGTTAAAACCAAGGATAATATGTGAAACACATCCACATATTATCAAATTCTCAAGGAGACTCAATAGTTTTGAGTATACAAAATATATAAACACAGAATATATTCTGATTACATTTGATTCTAGCAGAAAGGGAAGGAAAGAGTGCAGGGGAGAGAAAAATGCTTCTTTCTTATATGGAAAGCTAGCTAAAACAGTATCAGAGGTTATCCAAATCAGAAATACTATGGTAAGCTAAAGAGTAGAAAGCCCTGTTCCTCTTTCAAGGAGCACCGGTGGCGCTGATGGATTAGTGCTGGACTAATAATCACCAGGTCCGAGGTTCAAGCTCCCCAGCCGCTCGGTAGGTGGTCAGGTGAGGGCTATTGGCTCCAGTGAAGATTTACAGAAACCCGACATAGCAATGTTGCCCAAAGTGGGGAGGTGCTGGAATAATCTACGGGGGTTGCAAAAGCAGAGATGCCTACACTTTATCCTGGATTATGGGCTATAGTACAAAAATCTTCCATTGCCAGGGTATGGCGCACACTGAGCAATTTTTTTTCCTGAAAAAGGGGTACTAGACCAAAACAGGCTTGGGGGTTCAACCTGTCATCCTTTCAGTAAGCAACAGAGGGAGGGTGATTACTGTGGCACCAGGGCCCTTCTCCCATGATTACCACACAGGTACAGTCAACTGCTGAACTTCCCCAGAGATTCACAACAGCTACTTTAAGTGTGGAGTCCCTGGGTGGCACACACAATGAATGCACTCCTCTCTACCTGAAAGGTTAGAGGTTCCAGGCCACCCAAAGGCTTATGGGAAGAATGGTCTGGTGATCTGCTTACAAAACAGCAGCCCCTAACACTCTGACACACATGAGACCACCATGAGTTTAGTTCACTTGATAGCAACTGGCAGCCTACAAATCACACTTTCTATATATGATACACTGTTTCAATGTATGTAGCCAAATGTTACTAATATCCCATTCCCAAAACCATACGCAGGGTCACCTAATCTATTCCAAATATCCCATCACTGTTCCATAAAAATGT